AAATCACATGCACGCAATTTTCGTGTGACAGCAACAAACTTGCTCCGTCGCGACGGCTGAAACCACTCGTCGGCACCATTGCGTGTATACTCATAGTCGCTAAGATGGTCAACGACATCCTGCCAGATTTACTACTATTTTGTGTGGTCTTATAAGAAAGTCACAAATGCCTTTCATGACCTTCTTCTTTTTTGCGACCTTTGGTTTAACCCCGACGAGATGCCCTGAAACATACGCCACGATGGCTGCGACGCACTTCACATGATGATTTTACATTGTGTTGAGCTAACCTAATATTTACAAGCTATCATGGAAACATCCAAACTAACCTTCAAAAACAAGATTTAGTACAAGATATGGTCGGTGTTACTCTACGCGTGAGATGCGACTTTAAAAAGTTTCAGCATGTCCACAGAGTGAATGATGATGAGCATGGTGGAACGTCCATCCATCCGTCCATCCATGATTTTGCCCGTCCGTTCATGCTTCCATTCATCTATCCGTCCACGCTAACGTCTGTCCGTCTGTCCGTGCTGCTGTTGGTTCCTCCATCCACCCATCGATCCGTCGGTCGTCGTGCTTCTGTCGGTCCATTCATCCGTGCTTCCATCCATCTGTCCATTCATGCTTCCGTCCACCTCACCATGCTACCATCCGTCTGTCTTTCAGTGCCTCTGTCTGTTCCGTCCGTCCGTGCTTCTGGCCGTCTGTACATCCATGCTGCCGTTCATCTGTCTGCCCACGCGTCCATCTGCCCGTATGTCCGTCCTTCCGTCCGTCGATGCTTTCGCCCATCTGTCCGCCCGTGTGCCCACCTATGCGTCCATTCATCCGTGCTTACGTGTCGCTTAGTCTGTTTCTCTGTCTGTCTGTGTTTCTGTCTGTCTGTCTGTCATTTGTGTCTTTCCGCCCATTTGTCTGCCTGCCTGCCTGCCTGCCTGCCTACCTGTCTGTCTGTCTGTCCGTCCGTCCGTCCGTCCGTTTGTGTGTCTGTCTGTCTGTGTGTCTGTGTGTCTGTCTGTCTGTCTGTCTGTCTGTCTGTCTGTCTTACCGACTGTCCGTGCACCTATTTGTCTGTCTATCTACATATCTGTCTGTCTGTTAGTTCGCCCGCCCGTGTCTCTGTCTGTTCATCCCTCCGTGAACTATACGACATCGTGAACTATACGAAAACCACTAATGCCATCAAGCGATATGATCTCTAAGGACATATACACAAGCCATCTATTGACATATTCATAAACTAGACGTCGCTACATACTACTACTACTACCACTACTACTACTACTACTACTACTACTACTACTACTACTACTACTACTAAAGTGCTTATTTGGGCCGGTTGGTACATGGTCAACGACCATGTACCAACCGGCCCATGTACCAATGGTGTTACGCGCTGTTTTTTCACTTCGTTGACTACTACTACTACTACTACAGAGGAGAGAACGACCGGCTGCCCGAGAAAGATTTTACGAATGAAAATCACAGCATATCCAAGGAGTGAATGTTAAGAGGGGGGGGCCAAACATCTTTCAGCCCGTGCGTGCTTCCAACCGTCCGTTCATTCTTGCTCCCTTCTGTTAATGCATCCGCATGTGTGTCCGTCCATGCGACCGTACGTGCCTTGATGCGTCCGTTCATCTTTGTGTTCCTATGTGTGTCGGTCCATCCGCGCGTGCGTCCGCCCGTTCGTTCGTGTGTGCATCCTTCCTTGCTTTCATCTGCCATCCGTCCGCGCATTCGCCAGTCCATTCATCCGTACGTCTATCCGTTCGTGCGTGCGTCCGTTCGTCCACCCATGCGTCGACCCGTCAGTCCGCGCGCCCGATCTTGCGTACATCCATGCATCCATGTGTCTGTATGTGCGACTATTTGTCTGTCTGTCTGTCCGTCCGTCACCTCGTCTGTTTGTCCGTGCTAGCGTCCATCCATCCATAAAGTGAACACTCCGAGTACCGCTATCTCACACCTTTTTATCATATATTCATCATCATATACAAGTACCGTCAACCAGCAGACATTTTGAGGAATTAACGAGAGGTAGTACCTACTACGACGAAGATGTAGTCGCAGGCTACCTACTACTACTACTACTATTACATACATCGGGAACGTACGTCCCAAGCACAAATGAGTAAGTTTGATATGTCACTTTAAAATTAAAAATAATTACGAGTCTTGCCCTGTGCAAATATGTTGATTCCCGATCCCCCCATAGCACAAGCAGCTGTCTTATCAAGTTATGAGGCGGACGTAAATTATGCCGTACATTATTTCCACGTCATCAATCATGTTTGCGCCTATAGCAGGTGTATTCGTCATCCGTTCCCGTCACTTAAAACGAACTTTGGTATATACGAAGCAAGAAACATGGTCGCCAGCACGCTGTGTGGGCAGCACATATTTGTCATGCTTATACGTGTCATTTACCTTCATCGTCTATTGATGTTACGTGATACCTAATTTGGTATATCTGAAGCTAGCAAATTGGCCACAGCGCACCATGTAGTCATAATTAGCATGACGTACATGTCAAAATTATCGTGATTGCATGTGTCATTTACATTTGTCCTCAATTCATGCCACGTATTACCAAGTTTGATACATGTGAAGCTAGCCAAACGACCGCAAGCGCATCATGAGTGTGGCATTTAGTCAAGTTTGTACATGACACGCATCTTATTAATATAACAGAAGGGTATCTTGAAGAGAGAGTTAGTACATGATACTGAGAGAACAGTGCTAACAGCGGAACAGTTATATAACGATTTTCATGTTATAACTAGTCACTTATGCTCATCATGCGGTGATGTTATGCAATACCAATTTTGTTATAGATAGTATATAACGAAATGTCGAGGAGAGCTAAATGTAGGTGGCTAGATAGATAGAAAGATAGATAGATAGAATGAGAGATAGATAGATAGATAGATAAATAGATAGATAGATAGATGGATGGATAGATAGATAGATAGATAGATAGATAGATGGATAGATAGATAGATAGATAGATAGATAGATAGATAGATAGATAGATAGATAGATAGATAGATAGATAGATAGATAGATTCCTAAGAATTTTCCACCCTCCATGGAAGTTTAGCCTCCAAGGCACTCGGCTGCAGACCTGCAGGTGGCTGGATGAAATCCCGGCTGTGCGGTCACATTTTCGATGAAGGCGGATATGCATGAGGCCTGTGCGCTTAGATTGACGTGCTCGTTAAAAAACCCCAATTTCCGGAGCCCTCCACTACGGTGTCTCTGATAATCATAAGGTAGTTTTGTGATAACAAACACCAACAATTATTATACCTTCCGATTATTGATTGCCAGCTTGCAAGGAAAGCTACACACTTGGTTGATGCCATGTATGTAGGTAATACTAGAAATAATGATTTTTTTGCCTTTGTTTTACTTCACTACTCTATGGCAGGTTTAAGCTAAATAACGCTCATCTTGAAGATTTGAAGTCGAATTCAGCGATGTTTTTTACGTAAGCTTTGACGCGTCTCTACTTGCCAATTTTGTGATGACAATTTAGTTTTGCATATTAGAGTCGCATCACAAAATATTTGATCCTTTTTGTAAGAATAGAAGTTACTCGAGAAATATTTATTATGTCATGGTTTGGTAGGCCGCACCATTAACAATAGACAGTGAGCGTAACTCATGATTTGGTGCAAATGTTTATTGTACAAATATTTCTGTCCTGGCAGTCACGGTTCAAAATAAGGACATCCCACATAGGGAAAGCGTGCAAACTTTACATGATCATATTTTTGCCGGGCGAACTATGTATGCTCTTGTTATGTTATATGTGAATTGTACCCCAACAGCTACGATGCCGGTCAACATTCTGAAAAGAAATTCATTTCGCATAATATTATCTGTAAGGTTATAAAGTGTGCTCGTGTTCATTCCTAGCAGAAATCGCATGTACTTGAAGATGCGTGAGACCGATTTAGCATAGCTTTCACAAGATATTCAGATACCAATAGTTCTTGTAGCTGTGCTTCAAGTTTGAAACTTTTTTAGATGTTTTATCAACACACATAACCTAATTTGCTGCAAAGTGGCTGCTTAATATAAACGGATTGCTGTTGCGCAAACGCCAAAAGTTAGTAGTCGCCATCACTATAGTGTGTAGCACGAGGAAAACGAGCTGTATTGCCACACGCGCTTCTGCCTCTGTTTTACGTTGCCGTTCTATTGCACGTGTAAATACTGCTTTGGGCAAGGCACTTTAGAATTTCTGGGATCATGTCAGAATGCTTAATTATCATCTATATATTGTAATGTGCAAACACATACAGCTCAGTTTATTCTAGTTCACACGGCAACACAACCAATAACGTGCCTTTTTCTGGTCCATGCAGCACCTCAAGTGCAGATGACCGAAATGAAAACTGGTGGCACCAGGGCTCCAAAACTGTCCACCGCATGCCGGTAGGCGATTTCGGAAGCCTGCAATTGCGCCTGTTTTGAAGAAAACATTTGCATATTTGTGATACCAGATGACGCTTAGCCCACACCTATTGTTGCGTTTTGGCCAGAAGCAATAATAGCACGTGCCTCCTCGAAGCAAGCGCGCATGCGCAGGCCACCTGCGCGTAAAAAAGGCCCATTGTCTAATGATCGGTGCCGCGTATATAATTGCCGACGTGGCATGCCATAATATGGATGATTGACGGATAACGTGGTCTTCGCCGCTCTCGGCGCACAGTCGGTATCGCTCACAGTTTGACTATCCGTTTCTCTTCCCCAAGTTCAGCAAAATGAAGAATTAATTGTTAAACGTACCAACTGCTTCGTTCGTCCTATTCACGACTCCAGGACAATATTTTGGTCGCTACGTGTGTGCTTATTTGTCAGAGGTTTAAAATATGCCTATTGGTCTGAGCGGTATTATTTAGGCCTATAAGAGAAAATTGGATTGTTTGCCGAAAGTCGTTGTGTGGTGGTGTGTGTTCATTGTGTTTGTTTCTTCATTCTTTCAGTGTGAGGAACACAAAGTCGGAGTGTGGTGTTCACCCGGCTGTGTTTGTCGCGTGATGGATGCCATTGGCGAACCCCTATTTTTGTGCTTTGAAGATGGCAAACCACTTCCACTGGGCTTTCACTGAGCGTGACACAAGTTGCCTTCCTGTATCAGATGAATGTGCTTATTTATTGTATTATGACTGAATCCAAATAAACATCTTTATGTCTGAATGACACGGGTAATTTCTATAGACCGGTACATGGACAAACACACCTACCAAAACAAACACCGCTTCGCTTGAGGCATCTGAAACACTGTTTTTTTCTTTGTTGAAGTAGGAAACTAAGTATAGAAGTTAATACCATAGCTTCGCGACGGCTCCCTCTCTTTACTCGGCTGTTGCTATAAAAAATACACGAATAAAATATATTTTATATAACAATTCTACATCGGGAAGTTTCAAAATTATCGTTTGGTTAGAGCAAGGAAGCGGTCATGGTACACACTTCCAATACAGTTACCCCACTACTCACCACCAATCGTTCCGTCCTTAAAGAAACGTTAAAGAGCTTTGATCATTTTTCCATGCATGTATGATTGATGGTCGTTTTACTAGCGTTTTCACCAACGAAAATCTTCTCTCTGAGTATAGCATGTGGAGTTCTTGTGCGAGTCGCCTTGTATGTGCGGCGTATTTGAGGCCGTAGAACAGTAGAATCTACACATTCTCATCGTCATGAACGCATGAATATTGTGATGATGGTGCACGTTGTATCCAAAGAAGTGCTTTGTGATAGCCTTTCTGAGTCTTTGGCGATGCGTGGACGTGTTGTAATGGCTTGTGAGCGTCTGATTAGCACTCAAAATCACCTACAAGGACGTACGGCATTGATTCCTACGGCGTTTAAGCGCTTCAAATTGGTCCAGCACTACCATTTTTTTCGCAGTCACGTGCATTTTTTACAGAAAAACCTGTAAAGGCTACAAGAAAAATAGTTTTCGGCAGTGGTGTCACGAGTGGTCTCTATTAACTTTACAATAAGTTGTGCCGTTCTCAGCGTCATACCCAAGAACGTGTGCGATTGGCTGCGTTGTGAGTGAGGTCTTTTGTATTGTCGCTGCCAAGGCGTCAAGGGCGCTCTCATAGGTTTCTACTACAACCTTCTGTATGGGTGTTCCACGAACAATCCTAGAAGAGCGCCAACAGTGAAAACATGAGAGAACTTGCATTTGCCTGGCCGATGGTACAGTCCTGCCACGAAAAGAGGACCGGCAGGCTGAGTGCCGGCAGAAACTGCGTACCGACGATGCGGCAGCCTCACAAGACGCGCTAAATCGTGGATTCTCCAAACCATGCCGCCTTGTTAACCCGCGATGACAACTGCTTGTATCAACGCCGTGCCTAACAAGTGCCGTTGCGGGCAGTACAGCGTCAACGTGACGATTGCAGGAGCGCGTTCGCCGGGGAGAACATCCGCTTTCGGGAGTGAGTTTCTGCAGCGGCTCTTAGGCTTCGGCTGTGACGTCTGGGACCAGCTGTGCCTCGAGAACAATCACTGTGATCTATGCATTGTGAAACAACTTTAGCCACTCATTACACTCCTCCCTAACCGTGGTCATGCGCGGCACAATGTGTGGCGTATGAAATAAACAGTGCGGTAAACCCAAGCCAGTGCATCCTTGCCCAAGCTAAGCGTATATCTAAGCTGAATAACAAGCATGAACATGTAGCCAATAATTGTGAAAGGCTTCAGTGCAGCGTCGGGTAAAACCCATTGCTAAGCACCGGGGCCACATAGTTCAGCTTTCGCTGGTTTACCATTCGTACCGAGTGCTAGGGAGGTTACTTTTTCACATAAACACACAAAAAGACATGCACAAGCATACGTTAGATCTAAGCTAACACACTCTACTTCCACCCCCTGACGCCCTTCTCTTCGCGAGAGAACTTGCTCGTTACGGCTCTTCAAGGTTCCATGATTGAAGATTGAGACAGGTTACAAAAATTATGGCGGCATACTTATACAAGGTTTGGAAGGTTAAATATAAAGATTTTCGATGAAGTATCTCTGGGTAGAACATTTAGGTTGTTGAAATGGCCTTACCCATATTCGTAAAGAGCCCGACATTTCGGGACCAACTTGGTGCCTTACTCAGGGGGTAACTTTGTTCGTCATAAAAGCATCGCCGTGTTTTCTTTCACCAAAGCTCCAGCTTTCCACTTTTCCCACGTTTCGGAAAGAATGGACGTATAATGAAGGCGTTCCTCCCAGCGAGTGGCTCACGTTTGCAGGTTTGTTCTAAATATGCCTGGACTAGAGAAAGAGGCTTCTCCGTCGACTATTAATTGACGGCATGAAGACTTGAAATTGCTAATAAATACCTGACTTTTTATAGTTATTCAGACCTAATATTTATGCAGTATAACAGTAAACTTCGGACTTAGAGGAGTACAGCATGTGTATACATAAATATAGACATTAGTATGTGCTCTTTTAAGTGTGGTGTCATGTTTTGGAAAAATAGGCACTTTGAAAGTGGGGGCCCGAAATTTTTTTGCACAGAAGTGGTGCTTTGGACACTCCCCTTCTTATAGGTCAATATTGTCTTGCACGAGGGCCATTGCTTCAGTGAGTATTGTCTTCTTCGTTTGATGCAAAGCTTTTGAAGAAAGTTTTGAAGCTTCCGCTCAACTTTGATGTAAACGTAAGACATTTATTGACCAAATCGACTGAAACCAACTATAAATTATGCTGTAACTCAGTTACATCTCCATTTGAGTTTACTTATCTAGGGGTCTACGGCGTGAACTATTTTAAGTAAACGAGAAGTGCTCCAAAGAAGAGCTGTTGGTCCTCTTGAACAAATCTCTTTCACTGATACCACACTTCCAAATCAAATTAGCAGAAACTAGTTCCACCAGGTCTGCTTTACTTAGAAAAGCTCTCACAATATATGTTCAGGAGAATGAAAAAAAAACAGAGCAAATTGTGAGTTAAGCTAACTAGCACTAACCGCAACTAAAAAGTTCACTACCACTAACCGTAACCTACGTATGATCAACTCTAAAGAACATAAAGGTAGAACAAATTATTGAGCTCAATCCTTGAGATACGAATTTGTGTGTTCCGAAAGGCAAACAAAATTTCGGTATAATAAACAAATCACCTTTTTTGAGAGTGTATCGAAGACAAACCTTCAAATGTCGTTAAATGTGTCGCACACTTTTCTTCTTGCACGCTGTTGCTTTCAAGGTGGCTGCAAACTGAATATAATAGTCTACTGCTCTTTAGGCTATCTTTAAGGGTTTGGTTGTTAACAACTTTATTGGGGCTAAATCTGTCACTTATGTTATTTATTTTAACATGTTTTTTCGCGATGATTACGTTCATTACTCGATCATAGGTTTAGCGTCTACATGAGCTGTCTTTTTTTTTGCTTTTTCAAATCGCATTCTTGCCGAGCACTGGATTGCACAGGCGTCAGGACCTCAATCAGCTGAACACTCACGCTTGACTGAGCGTTCATCTGACTGAGGCGTGACTGAGTAAGAAAATGATCAGATTTGTTTATTTATTACTATACCCTTAACATCCAGGGGGTGTTATAGAAGTGGAGGGCACGCTATGAACGTGGCAAAAGTTATAATGACAGCAGTGAAGGAAACACAACAAATCGAAATTGAGAAAAAAAGACACAAAAAAAGACAAGCGCAGTCACACCATAAACTGAACTGCTGACTTGAACAGCCCTTGGTTTTTAGTGGCAGCAATGCAGGGGGAAAAGCGGTTCTAGTCTCTCCTTGTCTTCGGAAGAAAGAAAACTGCAGAAAGTTCTGGGTGCAGTAGAAGAGCATTGCTACTTGGGTGGTCAACATGGCATAAGAAATATGCAGGTTCTGAGAATAATTACTCTCTAAATACTTGATTACGTAACACAATTTTATAAAAGAATGACAGACCAAAGATTATTTTTCTAGTAGCAAAATTAGAAAGCTGTAGAGTACCTTTATCGAGATCACGCGGGTAGTACGAGCATAGATATTAAAAATAAAGCGAGCTGAGTGGTCTCGGACAGCTTCTAAAACTGCAGTTAACGCTGATTGAGCTGGTCACCAAATGGCAGACGCGTACTCTAGTTTTTGGTTGGACTAATGTTTGGTAGAGTTATAACTTAAGGTGAGAGGGGCGCTTGGCGGAAGTTTCTGCTGAGGTAACGAAGAGAACGCTTAGTGTTGTTAGTACTGTATGTAATGTAAGAATGCCATGAAAGATCATCTTTATGTAAACACCAAGGTATTTGTATCTATATACCAGCTTAACGTAGTTCCATTTGTAGCTGAAAATTATTGAAGTGATACAAGAACGTGTGATTGTCATGATTTTACACTTAGTTACGGTGAAACCTATTAACCACATGTTGCACCAACTACAGACCTTATTAGGATATGCTTCAATAAGTAATTTGTCGTCTTTTTACGCTATTTTGCGGTACAAAACGCACTCGTCAGCAAACAGTTTCTTGGTCGATTGAATATTATTAGCCAGATCGCTGATGTAAACAAAACAAAATTTAAACTATTCAAACCAGAACCTTGCGGTACGCGAGGTCTAACTACACAAGAATTGGGATGTGGCAGTTCAAAATAATGCCGAGAAATGGCGAGTCAAACGCAAAACACTAGTCCAGCTTGGGTCTCACGCACGCGCAGTAGACTCGGCGCTACTTCTTCGGGACCACAAAACTATTGGAGCCCCTATTCGAAAGCTAGTATTATTCATTGGGGTTTAACGTACCAAAACTGCAGTGTATTCAAAAGGGACACTGTCGGGGAGCACCACCAAGATTTCTACAACCTGCGGTTTTTAGCGCGCAGCTATACTCCCATACATGTGCCTGAATATTTAAGCCGCCTTCCAAAATGCATCCCCTGCAGCCGAGATTCGCTCCCGCCTTCTTCAAGTCAGCAGTCGATCACCATAGCGGGTATACTCTCGCCAAGTCAAAAGCGTAATGCGGCAGCCATTTCAGGGTTCACAGCTATTGCCGGAACCAGCATGAAAGTAACTTCATGTCCGTTCCGCAGTATCCATCTGTGTGGGCCACTTGAAGGGTGACCTCTCCCACCCTTAGAGAATGCAGCGCTACGATTAGTCATCAGCGAACATGCCAAAGCGGATGCTTTACAGGTACCCGCCATATAAAGACATTGTCAATATTATCCATATGA